TCTCTCTCTCTCTCTCTCTCTCTCTCTCTCTCTCACACACACACACACACACACACACACACACACACACACACACACACACACGCGCACATCTTTGCGTGCATGCTTTTTTTGTAGACCACAGATCAGATAGTACACTTGATCGTTGGGGGGGGGGTTGCGGAAACGCGCTGGCACATAGTTAGACTGGGCTCTCTATCTCTCTTCCTCTCGCTCTTTCTCTAGTCTCTCTCCCGCGTCTTGGGCGCACGTGTTTCTTTTTTCCCCTTTCTAACCGTCTCGCTGAACCACGGAACTAATCTGTGGCATACTGCGTAGCCACACGCGCCTACAGGGCCCGTCCCGCATTTCCAGCCTAAAAGCCTAGAAATAAGGGCTTACAGGCCCCTGTCGTTTCAGCCTCAAAGACGGAAAAACGAGGGCCTGCAGGCCCTATGTCGTTTCAGCCTAAAACAGGGCTTTTCAGCCTGAAACGGAGGGCCACTTTCGGGCCCTCATAAGATCAACCTACCCTAATACTTAGGCACGAAAACAGGGTTTCGGGAACAGGCTATTTCTGGCCTGTTCCCCACGACAGCCTCAAGCAGGAGCTGCAGCGGCAGCCCCTGACTTCCTTCGGCATTGGCAAGAGCAGCCTCCATGACTGCCTCGCCCTGCAGTCAGGAGGCACCCGAGTAGTACATAGGAAGTTCCCATGCACTTCATGGGTAGGTAGTTGGACAGAAGGCAGAGTAGTCTTCAGGATTTCGGCCGCAGCACTCAGGAGGAGCGCTGCAGGAGTAGCTTAGCGCTAGCAGTAGTCTTCAGCGCTGGGCGCTAGTAGCCATAGCAGTAGTCTTCAGCGCTGGGCGCTACTGGGTGGTAGTAGTAGAGTTGGGAGAGATGGCTGGCGGAGGCCAGTGGGACTTACCTGTGGCGCCATAGCTCCAGCTCCATCTTTGAGGTACCTGCATCAAGGCGCCATCTTCACAGGTTAGTACTGGACACAGAGAGAGAGAGAGAGTTCTTCTTTTCCTCTTCTAAGTCCACCATCTCTTCTTCACCCTCTCACCACCTGACTTCTCAGTATCAGTAGACTACGACAGAGGGAGAGAGAGTTGTGACTTGAGACTTGACGACATTGGATCCAGACTCGACATTGGGATTCAGACATTTTGACGAGGGACTATTTGGGCCTGTGCCGAAGACTTGGTGTTGACGACATTCCCATCGTCCCCTCTTCTTCGTCTAACCCCCCTCTTCTTCGTTTGTGTATGGTTGGGGCTGGCGCAGTCTTCCTGTGTGAGCACTAGACCCCTTCACACCATGGAATGATGATGATGATGTATGTTCGGGGCTGCATTGCAATATTGATTGTTCGGATCATTGGTATCTAAGTCTTCCGCTACGCTATCTTGTACTTTGTATTGAGAGGTCGGTTCTTGTTCTGGTCTGCACCGTCACAGTATGCAACATAATCGCAGCAGATACTGTACTTGCTC